ACACAGGTCCCGGGAGGTCGGGACCAGGCGAACGCTGCAGTCCCAGTCGGTTGCCCGGGTCAGCAAAACTTTGTGTCTCAGTGCGCAGGCGCAGAGCAGGACGGTTGCGGGGAGGGGGCAGGGGAGGGAGGGGAGGAATCCTGAGGCTAGGGGAGGGGGGAGGAGGGAGGGAGGAAGGAGGGAGGGTGGTGGATTAAAATAAGTAGGCGGCTCGGTGCTAAGGGGTAAGTGAGTCGGAGCTCGGTCTCTCCCCAGCGCTTTCTCAGCCGCTCCGGGTTCAGACCCAACCAAGGAGCCGCGAGAGAAGTTCACCAACCCCTGGGCGGACAGGACTCCAGGGCCGCTGAGCGCTCCCGCGTGTCGGGCGCCCGGAGTCCCCGCGGCCTCCGAAGAGGGGCCGGGACTCTTGAGTTCCGCGGGTGCCTGTGGAAATCCAGCGCCTCTGGCTAACCGGGTCCCCCCGCAGCGGGAGCCCCAGAGACGCGCTCAACTCCGGGACCGCCGCGGAATAAGGTAACTGCAGCCCTGGGCGCCCAGGCTTGGCGAGGGGAATGCGGGCAGGATCCCCGGGGTCCCCTTGTCACCGCTCGGCGGGTGTCTCTTCTCTCTCCAAGTCCCGGAAAGAAGCTCCTCTTACCAAATGAAGACTGCTGGACCTCTGTGAAAGCGAGAGCAGCTGCAGTCCTGGGTGCTTGGGGGTGCTTGGTTCAGGAATTTCTCGTGCGGGGGTCCTCGGCCTCTGACCCGGGGGGGATGAGGGGGCGGGTCCCCGCTACTACCCCGAGAGCCGCGGGTCTTCGCGGAATCCCGGGCGAGGTGCCCACGGACTTCGGAAGTCAGCTTGTGGCCCCTTTCTTAAGAAACCGAAGCAACTTGTGCGGGCACAAACTTTCCCAAGACGCACGCCTAGCTCAATCTGACCTACTTTAGCTGGCGAAGGAGGAGAAGAGAGTGGCCGGATGGCCACGGCCGCCCGCGCCACGGACAGGTGCATGCCCCCGCCGGGTCGCGCTTTCCTGAGCTCGTCTTTTTGCAGAGTTGCGATCGGGTACGCGGCCGGCCCGACCCTGGAGTGCCAGCCCGCGTGCCTGACCTCGTCTCGCACTTGCGCTCCGACTTCGGGGTGTTCTTTATTCGGTGATTGCTCTTGTGGTCGGGGCCTGGAGAGTAACCCGCGACTGACCCGGTGGAGGGGAGCATGTAGGGGGCTCGAACACTAGTCCCCAATCGGAGACCCCGCACGCCGCGGTAGCGGAAACACTGCAGCCGCGGGTGTTCTCAGTTTCAGGCTTGAAAGGGCAAGATTCGTTTGCTCCGGGGACTGTCTCCCTTCAAGGGAAAAGGTGGGAGCGGGACGAGAGAGGGAAAGAGGTGACGGGCTGCCTGCTGAACTCATTTCTCCCAGGAAATTTCTCTCGTAAGAGGAATGAAAACCCACAGCCAATCCCTTTTCAGCAGCTCGGCCAGTCGCGGGGTAGGTTCTTGGAGCATAGAGGAGCTGCGACGGTTTCTTTGTTGCCACAATTTGGTAAATTTCACCCGGGCTAAGAGCTGCGCGCTGGCTCTTGGGAACAGAAACCACGTGCAAGGCTAGTTAATCTCCCAGGTTCATGGCCTCCTGGAGAAGAGAGAGAGACTGGCAAGGACGCGGGGTGGGGGAGGCGGGAGGAACGGATGGAGGGCGACCGGTGAGTGAATGTTCTATATGAGGTTCCTCAAAGTAATTGCGATTTTAGTAAGACTGGGGAGCAGATCACTAAGGACGCAGCTGGGCATTTAGATGCAGAAGGATGGCCGCCTAACTGAAGGGTTCATTCGATCTCGTTCGTTGGGAGAATTAAACAGAAGTGTCCGGCGCCGGTCAGTCCTCTCTCCAGGGGTCCGGACGCTTGTCAGCACGCGTGTTGGGGATTCGGTGTCAAGGATGATTTTTCCGGGACTGATGCTGGGCTCCTCCAGGCGCTCGCTCGTGAAGCTCGCTCCTTCCTCATTAATGCAAGCAGTTAACTCGCTCACGCTCAATTAGCCCCGAATAAACCACTTTAATAGACTCTTGCACACTTCATTAATGCCCGGCGTAGGGCTGGCGGCAGAACCGGGATTGGCGCTCTACCGCACGAGAGAAGCTGTGTCTGAACCGCGCGGGGACCCGGGCTGGGAAGCGCTAATGGCGTTTGATGCGCGTAGTCGGCACCCTTACTCGCGCCTCCCAGGTCCCGGGGTCCTAGCTTCTTGCAGAGCGGATGCCTGGCCTGAGGCAGGCAAGAGGGGTTTCCTCTCTTGTTTAAGGATCTAAAGCAGTTCACACTGGGGGTCCGGGGTCAGGGCCCGGAGAGCCACTGGGACTGGGCGTTTGCTCATCTTCTCCCGCAGGAGAGGCAGAGTGAGACTTTTGTTTTCCTCTTAGCGAACCGCCTGAAACTGGATCGTGGATTCGGCCCATTCTTGTTACTTTACTAGTGTAGAAAGCCACGTTTCGAACGAATTTCGTCCCCGGGAAAACCGTTGACCAGAGCCTGGGGAGCCTTGCCCTGGGAATGCGGCAGAAAGTAAACTGGCTGCAAAAGAAATTGAGTGTTGGGGGAAACAAGATCGGGCAGATAGCCCCGAAAGTTTGGCTCCCAGGAGCAGTTTTGGTGTAGGCGCCCCCTCCCCTCACCGAGCCAAAGTCTGGGCTCCTGGGGGTGGTCAAGGAAAGGCTGGGTTAGTACGCGCGGGGCCGGTGCGATTCCCTCACCCCGCCGGGAGCGGGCCCGGGCCCGGGTGCAGCCCAGCGCCCGGCCGCCATCGTCCAGGGATAGACCGAGCGCCGAGAGGAGCAAGTGAGGCCCCGGCGGCGCCCGGAGGGCCCCGGGGGAAGCCGGAGATAAGGATCTGATTTCCAGCGCCTGGAGGGGAAGGAGAGGTGACAGCAAATCAAAGAGCGCTCACCTCGCCTAAGTCTGGGCAGACCTTTGAAGTCGGCGAGTCATCTCCTCTTTCTCCCCCTCCCCCTTCCCAACCCAAACAGGCTTTCTCTTTGGCCCGATTCGTTCTTCTTCGCCGCGTCTCAGCGCCTTAGGAGGGTCTCGGGTTGTCCCAGGCGCGACAGCTTGAGCGACGCAGCGGAGAAGCCCGCTGCCCAGGTCACGGCTCCGTCGCCGCTGGGGTCCGCGCTCCCCCGCCCCCGCATCCCAGTTTGTGCCTCGCCGAGACCCTGGCGGAATTAATTGCTGCGGTCCGACAGGGGTTTCATTGGATTGACGATTTAACCTGCCGGCTCTGGGTGTTCGGCACCTTCTGCAGAGCCTCTTCGCCTATGGGCCACCGCACTGGATGCGTGACCTTCCTGCCAGCCTCCAAGGAGAAGGCTTTCTAGGTCCAGATTGTCCTGCCTCCTCCCGGGAACATCCTGGGCACTGCCCTCACGTTAACAGCTTCCCTGGAGCTAAAGGCAGCCTGCGCCTTAAGCACCTGGGCTTTGGGGAAGCCAGGCTTTCGGAACCGCCTGGGTGGTGTCGGGTCTGTCGTGAAGGAGGGAACGGAACAGGGGCCTGCCTGTCCCAGGGTTGGGGACTAGGTGGAGGAGAGATCTGAGGAAGGGGAGGGGGGAAATCAGCAGTAAAGAGAGAAGTGGAAGGCAGGGGATTGAGACAGGCAAAGAAGTGCCTGCGGCCTGAACACCCTGCTCCCCAGTGACTTCTTGAGATGGAGTTCAGCACTTGAGCCTCCTAAGGCCCTCCGTGTAATTTTGGCTTTCCTTCTCCCTGTTTTTGCCTCCACTGGACAGACATGAGTTAGGAGTGTCTGGGAGGCACAGACATAAAAATTCTTTCTGCGGACTCCAGACCTGTCCATGGAGGCTAAGGACCCTGACCAAGGGTCAAGGAGATCAGGAGACACCAGACTGCTTGTCACATCAGCAGGGCTCCCCTCTGGCTTGGCTCAAGCTCCCTGGCCTTGCATTTGGAGGGTGCGTAGCCCACAATAGCAGAGGCCCAGCCTCCATGCTCCTGCTCAGGAGGAAACCCACCTGCTCAGGGAGGGGGTGTTCAACACACACAAACATCCTGAGACCCTGAAGACCCTGTCCCCCTTTCTTATGGGGTAGGGAGGGCGCAGGAACAAATGAATGCATGTGGCTGAGTGAGTAAATAAATGTGCGTGTCACTGTCCTTGGTGAAAGAAAGGTGATCCCCAAAGACGATGGAAAAGAGTCAGTCCACAGGCAGCTGCAGAGAGGGTGGCGTCAAGGGGGCTGGGTAACAGTGAGACAGGAAAGCAAATTTGAAGTCAAAGTTGTGAGTTGTAAGGAGAAAGAGGACATGGTTTCTAGAAGCCAAATTGACTGGCAGCTAATAGAGGTTAATGCTCCGGAGCTGAGAGACGTGCGGATTTGTGTGCTTTTGTATGTTTGCTGTCTTCCTGTAGGACTGTCTGTGGGTGCCCTGTGTGTGTGTGTGTTCAGTTCCTGCATTTTGTTTAGTAGCACAATACTGATGGTTCCAGTTTATCTTCGCACCTTGTTGTCAACTTTGTTCAGAATGTGTGAACCTGGGTTTATCTGTCAGTGTGCACTTCTGTATTTGTTTATCTGAACATGAATATGTAAGTGCGCTTCCAAGTGAGTTACTTTTGCAGGAGGGTGTAATTCTATATTGACTCGGGCTTGTCTGGATGTACATTCCCTGTGTTTCTGCCTGTCTCAGTGTCAGGTACACTGTAGACTCTCATTTTAAGTTGGTCGCATTGCCCAGCATTTAGTTTGGTTTCTGTATCAAGTTTGTGTCTCTGCCAGAGGCCATTTGCAAGGAGTCCTTGGATTACTGAAGATTCCTGTCTTCTCCTTGAGGCCAGTGAGATCCCTGAGTGGGGTCCTAGGCACTCAGCTCAGTCTCTGGGGACAGAATGGGTGTGGCCAGGCTGGAACTCAGAAGGAGGGCCTGAACTTGTCTGTTTCCCCCTCCCCTCTTCTTCTTTTCCTACAGCAGGAAGACTGGGAACAGACTGCCGCTTCGGCCATGGGCAGCAAAACCTTGCCAGCACCGGTGCCCATCCACCCATCCCTGCAGCTCACCAACTACTCCTTTCTTCAGGCAGTGAACGGCCTGCCAGCGGTGCCCTCGGACCACCTGCCCAACCTGTATGGTTTCAGCGCACTGCACGCAGTGCACCTGCATCAGTGGACGCTGGGCTACCCCGCCATGCACTTGCCGCGGTCCTCTTTCTCCAAAGTGCCGGGAGCCGTGTCCAGCCTGGTGGACGCGCGTTTCCAGCTGCCTGCCTTCCCCTGGTTCCCTCATGTCATCCAGCCCAAGCCCGAGATCACCGCTGGAGGCAGCGGCCCCGCGGCGCTCAAGACCAAGCCGCGCTTTGATTTTGCCAACCTGGCCTTGGCTGCCACGCAAGAAGATCCATCAAAGCTTTGCCGGGGGGAGGGCCCTGGGTCCCCTGCCGGTGGGCTGGGCGCCCTCCTGGATGTGACCAAGCTGTCCCCCGAAAAGAAGCCCACGAGGGGACGCCTGCCTTCCAAAACCAAGAAGGAGTTCGTCTGCAAATTCTGTGGCCGCCACTTCACTAAATCCTACAACCTCCTTATCCACGAGCGGACACACACGGACGAGAGGCCCTACACGTGCGACATCTGCCACAAAGCCTTCCGGAGGCAAGACCACCTACGAGACCACAGGTGCAGTACTGCGGAGGAGGGGTGCAGAACAGAGCTATTAGTCTGCTTCTGATGCCAGGGTTCATAAGGCCGCTCACCCCCCCCCCGCCCCCCGCCGCCCCCAGGTTCCAAGCCTCCTGAGTTTCTGAGCTTCCCCCTAAATCAGGAAGGAAACCACCCAAGCTCAGGGCTGGGTTTCTGGAGCATGGGTGGAGAGAATATGGCAGGAACAGGTCCCAAGCTCCAGACAGGCATGCACAGCTTCCTCCATCTATAACGCTGTGCGAGAGAAGTTTCTGAGATGATGAAGTGTGACATGCGACACATGTGACAGTTAAGCACTTGAAATGGGCAACTAGTGTAACCGAGAAACTAACTTTACTTAATTTTAATAACCACACGTGGCAGGTGGCTACCATCTTGGACAGCACAGTGCCAGCCAATTGTCCCACCTCACTCACCTTTGGTGTTGACTCAGGCCTTATAAGGAGGCTGTGCTGGCCCCTGATCAGGCAGGCAGGGATCCACCTAGCTGGACATGGGCACAGCTAAGACAGGAGGTGTCTCCCTTATCTCCCCATCCCCTCCCCACACTCAGCATGTGCCCGCTTCCCACTAGGTATCCCACGTCCTTCCTTCTTTTGAGGTTCAAGTTCCTTATTGTCGTGGGAAGGTATTTTGGATAACTGTTTATAACATTGCATCATTTTTGCCAAGCTTAATTATCGGTCTGCTTTTTGCCTTCAGATATATTCACTCCAAAGAGAAGCCTTTCAAGTGTCAAGAGTGTGGGAAAGGATTCTGCCAGTCCAGGACTCTCGCTGTGCACAAGACGCTACACTCACAGGTGAAGGAGCTCAAAACCTCCAAGATCAAATGCTAAATAGAGCCTCCGAGTGAGTCACCAGGACCCTGGGTCACGCAGCCCCCTCCTCCAGAGGGAACAGAAGCCCAAGGCGACTCTGGCGGGCAGCGAGAGGGGCTCCGGGGACTTTCCTCCATCCCAAACGCGTCCCCCGGGTCCCGGGCGCACGCGGAACTTCACAGCCGCGCCCCGGGCCATGACCCCGGCCGCCCGGGCGGCTCCCCCAGGACGCGGCTAAACTCTTGGCCAAAAGGCGGTACTCGTGTGGCGGAAGGGAAACTGCATTAAAAAGAGAACGAAAGCTTCGCGGAGCCGCAGCGGCGCCTCTCCCAGAAGTATTACTTTTTCTATTGTTATTTTATACATTTTCTTTATTATTTTTTTTTCTTTGACCATATAAGCTTGTAACTCTGACTGCGGAGAGAGAGGGGAGAGGAAAAGGAGATTTGTGCTCTCGCAGCTTCCCACCCTTCCTCCCGCCCCCATCCCCACCCCCGGGAGCCTGCAAAAGTGTAATCCCAGTATCTGCTTCAGCCTCCGGCCCAGGGAGCGCGGGGCCGAGGGGCGCCCCTCCCGGCTCCTGCCGCGCTGCGGGCGGTGGGCTCCCGGACCCGGATGGTGGGGCGGGGTGCCTCGGGCCCTGCGGCTGAGGGGGGCCCTGCGGCTGAGGGGGGCCCGGCCTCCGGCTTCCCTGCTCCGCTGCCCCTTCGCCGCGAGGAGCTGAAGGCTAGCAGCAGGGCGGTGTATTGCGATTGGCACTTTATGCTGACCATCGGTAACGGACATTTATCACTGGAGTTTTTAAAAATATTAAATAAACGGTTATTTTACAGGCACTGCAGGGTGGGTAATTTCCCTCCCCCAATTCCTGCGTTTTCTCCCCAAATGCAGCAAACTGGGCAGCTCCTTTTCTTGAGAGGAGCCGGGGCTTCGATCCCCACGCCGACCTGTCCCAATTCTGCCCTTCCCCTGATTGGGGTCAGTGGCTTGGGATGCATGGAGACGCCCTCCTCTCTCCCTATGGTGGTCAACCTCGGATAACTTAATTTACTTTTCTTCTCCACTTTGGTGTTGGGGCCTCAGTATCGTCTCCCCACTCCGAATCTCCAAAGGGCTCCAAAGAAGCCGAGTCTGCGGCCAAAACTTCGAACGTTTCTTACAGTATCTCCAGGAGCCGGGTCGCTTCGAATCCAACTAAGGGAAAAGAAAGTCACCCCCCCGCCCCCAAACAAAAACCTCCTTCCGGGCCTCCTACTGCTGCCCTGGGAAGGGAAGGAAGCGCCCTCCCCTCACGGTCAACCTCAAACCGGTACCCTTCCTGGGGGCCCAATAGCTGCTGCAAATAAGTCTTCACCGCTGCCTCTCCTAAGTCCCCAAACCTACGTCCCTCCCTCCGTTAGGATCCCCCCGACACGATTCTCCGGCTGGGGCTTGTCCCCAGCCTGGATCCCGGCTCCGTGCCCGCAAAGATTTCCCTGCAGTTTTAAAGCCTTGTCAGGAATGGCGGGGGCGGGCGCCCTGGGAGGCCCAGAGAGTCGAGGAGGAGAAATCCGAGTCCGCCCTCCACAAGTGGAACCTTCCCTGGGGCGCCTAGTTTTCTCACAATTAGAGGCCAGGCCGCCGGGGGGCTCTCCAGCTTGGAGCGGGGTGGGGCTCCCCCAGCTCCGGCAGCCTGACCGCGCGGCGGGCGCAGGCGGTGGCGCTCCCGGCCCTTCCCCAGCCTGCTCGAGCGCAGGCTCTCGGGCTTCCGCGCCTGGCGCTCAGCGGCCGCGGGCACAGCTGGGCCGAGCTTCCCGGCAACTGGGACTCCCCCCACCCCCAATCCCATTCGGTCTGAGAAAGTGGGCCCGGGTCTGCATGAGTTAAAACGTTCTCTAGCCTTTCACTGTGGCATCCCCTTCTCCGCTGGGAACGCCCCCTCCCACCCTCCGCCCTCGGCTGGCTGAATCTCCGCGATTCGAGAACCCAACTTATCGCCGAGGCCTTTGCCGGGACCGCGCGGACCACGCAGCCGTCGGCATTCGGAGCCACGCTGCCCCCTGCTGGACAGGCCTGGAGGGGCGGCCCAGGAATGCGGGCACTTCGCTCCGTCGTGCTCTAGGCTCTGAGGAACCCTCCACCGCAGGCCCTGTCGGCGTCTGGTCTTGCCCTTAAAACCTTCTTGACGCCCGTGCCAGGGCCCCATGGAAACGAGGGGGACAGAGCGCTGCCGGTTCTGGACCGGCCTATGAGATCTCCGCTAGTAGAGCAAGATCCCAGGACTTCTTACCCTCGGGTCCAAAAAGACTCGCAACAGGAAAGGATGGAGCCCATATCCCAGAGAACTGTGACCTCTGGGCATCTGAAGCGAGGGCTAGTCAGTGGGTTTGGGACTTGGACGGCTGGCTCGGGCCCAGGCAGCGCAGGCTGTGGTATGGGTGGTGCCCGGCCTCAGCTTGTGTAAGCGCCCAGGGCAGAAGCCTTGTCCCTTCCTTATCAGACCTTTTAAGTGGTTGTTCCAAGGTGAGGACAGTGCATGGGCGTGCGCGCGCACACACAGGCACTACCCAGAACTTTGAGTACCTCTGAGGACCTGAGAGAGCCTCATTCAGTCCCTTTAGTCTCCTGGGGTGGGGGTGGGAGGGTGTTCATCTTTCTCACGGAGAAGGGAATGTCAACCCACTTCAGTATTCTTGCCTGGAGAATCCCATAGACAGAGGAGCCTGGTGGGCTACAGTCCATGTGGTCGCTAAGAGTCCGACAGGACTGAGCTACTTTCACTCACATCTTTCTCAAGGATTGATTACTGCTGCTGCCCTCCTGTCCCTCACATTGCACCACTTCCAACCTCCCCAGGATACATAGAACCTCTGCAGGAACTCAAGGACTTCACAAAGACTTGAAGGTGGTGGGTGGGGGATTGCTGGGGAAGATTTTTGTTTCTGGCCCATCCAGCTTTGGTACCGTGAATCCCCGCCCCTGCCCTCCATCCCTAGGCCCTGGCCACGGAGAAACAATCAGTATGAAGTGTGCATTCTTGGAAAAAAAAGAATCCCTAAGTGCAGAGTTTTGGGGGATGAGGTGAGAGAGGGGCAGAGTGCTGCCCAGAGACCTCCCACCTGTTCCTAAAGCCTCTGTCATTCTGGTGGAATCAGAAGTCACTTCTCAGTGCAGCTCGCTTGCAGTCTGTCCGCCTGGCAGGGGTTTCATAGACTGATCAGTAACAGCAACTGCAAAGGGAAGGGCAAGCCTGGTCCTGGGGCCACCAGATCCCACACAGGCTACAATTTCCTGACCATATTCTGAAGGTCGTATGAAAGGCAACCAGAGGGTTAGAAATGCTGGGTGGGTTTTATTGCCTGTCCACTCTGCAGGTGGCTAATTTTTTCTTGCCACAGATCTGGAAGATTCCACCCTGCCCCCACTCCCCCCACCCCTCCATTTTCAGACATGAAGTAAGCTTCCTTTGGCCTCAAGTGCCTAGCGCGGCTTGGGCCGGTAGAGTTCTATTGGAACCTTTCCCAAAGCTGCTAGGCCTGCAGGTCCTCTTTAGCTCAGGGGTGGGGAAACTACCCGGCTGGACTTCGCTGCTGGGCGGAGAGTAGGCACTAGAGACCCTTGGTGCAGCCTGGAGCTCCCCTAGTGCTCTTCTGGGAAGAGAATGAGGAGCGCCCTGGGGAAAAGAATAGCCCTCAGGGGGCTTCTTCGTAGAGGACGGGTTCAGGTTCCACCTCTTCCTTCCGGAATGTAGCTAGGGAGGTTGGGGCGCACGAAGGGCCTTTTACCCGCTGACCTCCTTGTCTCCTGATTCAGGGCTAGCATAGGGTCCTGGAGGACGGAGAAAGGCAGTGGGATGGTGCAGGGCTCCTTGATGGCACCTCATCTCCGAGAACATGGGACTGTGATATCATCCCCACCCTGTCCCCTGGAGCCTCGGCATCCTGAGAAAGGGCTCAGAGGCGTCACCCCACCTCCCAGAGCATGATGACGCTGTGACGTCAGGGCATCCTCCCGCTGCCACAGTGATGTCACACAGGCCTCGGGCAGGAGCGCAAGGGCACCGCGACACCTGCAGCGGTATCTCATTTACGTCCTTCCTCGGCGTCACAGAGGGGCCACTCCTAGAGCAGTGACACTATGCTCCCACACTTCCCGGTCCCGCCCCTCAAATTCTGCCTGTAAAGGCGCCAAGAATGGGTTGGTCCCCCAGCGACAGACTCTGCAGACTCGAAGGGTGCGCAGCTGCCCTTAGTGAAGGAGGATGCCCAGCAGCCTCTGCCTTTGGATCCGGGTGGTTTAGAACAGTCTCCCGGCGCCAGGGTTTCAGAGAGCCAGCTGTCGCCCCGCCCACCTGGCAGGGTCCCTATCCACCCGCCTCTCCGCCCACTACGCAGGCCCGGCGCGCAGGCGCAGCTGGAACTCACCTCCCAGAGTCCTGGGGCGCCGGAGCGCCGCGTCCCCGCGCAGTGTCTGGCGGTTGCTGTTACGTGCCACACTCTCAGGGGTCACAAACTCGGGGTAGCAGTGGCCCGGCGGACACATCAAGCCATTGGCATATGTGAGCACTAGAGATGCCGACAAGGAAGAGGGCACCTCAGGTTTAACGCTGGCTGGAGACTTTGGAGTTCCTTTTGCGTCTCTGGAGTCCAACGGAGGCGAGGTCCGAAGGAAGTCCCTGGGATTCCAGCCGGCAGGAGTGGTGCGGCCGGGCCCTGCTCTAGATGAGAGAGTCCACTGGTTCCCTAGCCTTTTTGGGCAGGGTCTCTGAGGCAAAGGTCTGGGACCCCCACCCCGGGGGAACTCTTAGGGGCACAGACCTGGTCACCCGCCCTGTGCCTTCAGCCCCGCTTTGGGGGCCATCTCTAGGACCAAACTGGTGGTCGGGCCCAGTTTGCATAGGTTTCAGACGAAAAATTCACTAGGGCCATGAAATTGCTCTCTCGTGGAGATCAAACCTCATGTCAGTGGCAGAGGATGAATTAGAATCTGTGCTTCCTTTGTGGCCTTAAAATGCAGTTCTAGCTTTACCTGCCGCTCACAAACTTTGCGCAACGTCCCTACACTTCTCTGAGGCTCACGATGGGACTAATACTCTTCCCACCTACCTCATTCGGTTAATGCAGAGGGCAAAGTCATACATGTTTTCTCAGTCATTTATTTACTGCTTGAACCAAAACCTGGACCGTAATATTATGCAGAACAACTTGTCCATTTACGAAGCACCATGTAAAAGTATTATTAGGAATAATAATGCTTCGCAGGGTGCTAAAGTAGCCTGCCTCTCAAACTGTCATATTCCTGGGTGAATCTTTGTCTTCACTTTATTATAACCCAGGGATTTATCATAGCCCACTTTATCATAGCCCATTCATGAAATGGGTTGGAAGAAGAGTATCTGATTTGGACTATTGTTTTCAAATAAACAACAGAATTTTATTCCTTACAGTTCTGGAAGTTTGAAGCCTGAGATTAGGCTGCCAGCATATGGACTGGTGATCTTGAAGCCTTCTGGAAAACTTTGAAAGAAGCTTTCTTTCTTTCTTTTTTTCTAACTCCATGGAGACAAATAGATTAATCATTTCACAGATTATGGTTATCTTTGGTTGAGAGAGGAAGTCAGGAGACAAAATGTAAGTGCCCTACTCACCACTCCTTTGAGGCATATGCTTAGGGAAGAAAAAAAAAATCACCCTGGGGCAGATTGAGGTGTGGGTCAGGGGCTATTATGTGGCAGGTGTCACTTAATAAGAATAGGGATATTTCACTCTGCAAACACGTCCCATTATAGTCATCTTTGAATTTGTGCTTCCTTTGATTTGTGTTGGAGTGTCCTAGCCTTCAGGAAAGCTAGTCACACAATAGTATTATGTGGACACATTTGCAGGAATGTTTCTGTCACCCAGCCACCCAAGCCCTGGCCATCTGCTGCCATTTTTTGAATACTGTTTTATTTGAAGTATAGTTGATTTACAACGTTGTGTTAAGTTCTGCTGTATAGCAAAGTGATTCAGTTATATGTATATATATGATCATTATTAAAATTATATCATTTTAATATTCTTTTACTATGGTTTATCATAGGATACTGAATATAGTTCCCTGTGCTATACAGTGAGACCTTGTTGTTTATTCATTCTGTTAACCCAACCTCCCACTCCATCGCTCCTCCAACCCCGTCCCCCTTGGCAACCTCAAGTTTGCTCTTTATGTCCCTGAGTGTGTTTCCATTTCACATTTGTGTCATATTTTAGGTTCCACATATGCGTGATATCACATGGTATTTATCTTTCTCACTTACTTTACTTAGCATGATAATCTCTAGCTGCATTTATTGCTGCAAGTGGTATTGTTTCATTCTTTTTTTAATAGTTGGGTAGTATTCTGTTGTAGATATATATATGCTGCATCTTCTTCGTCCATTCATCTGTGTTTCCATTCTCAGCCATTTTCCTGACCAGTGCTGGTTCCAGCTCCAGCAATAAGAATATAGAAGGACTTAAAAGTGGGATGGTTTGAGATGGATGAAAGATCGGATAAATCAGTTGAGAGTTTTGTTTTTCCTTTCTAGACACTTTGCTGGCTCTTAGTGGCTCAGCCATCTCTGGGGAGGGATAAAATATAATTAATTTATTTTTAATGTTTGGTTTGATTGAACTCTTCTGCTAGGGAGATAAGATAAGGAGTTTTGTCATGACAAGTGCAAGGATGGATTGCTTTTTGTCATTCGCAGGAGTGGGTACCACTTGGAGCCTGTAAGTAGATGGTGGCATGAGATGAGAAACTTTACAGGAGACGTGAAAGAAAACTAGAGGAGATGGGGCAGGAATGGCTAGATCTTTGCCACTCCAAGAACCAGAGAGGGAAAATGAGATTCCAGAGAATATGGGCCTTGTCTTAAATAATGAGATGTACTTGGGAGATTGGTTCACTTCTTACTTGGGTCAGGAAGTGAGCATCTTTGTGCAGAGTTCAGAATGTCTTCAGTATCTCACAGCATATGTAGCTCCTCCTGTAGGTCTACAGTAAGCCAAGAACCAGAGCAGATGTGGTGCCATGGCCGTCAGGAAGAGTCTCCATGGTCTTGTCATGGGACAGATCAAGTGATATGGAAATACTTGACCAGATACTCTAAGGCAGGTCGGATGACTTAAAGGGTTCCTGTCAAAAGAAGGAAGAGGAGGGAGGAAGGGAGGGAGAAAAAAAGGGTGGGAGGGAAGAAAGCAGGAAGGAAGAAAGACAGGAAGAAAGCAAAAGCCTTCCTAGAATTAAAAAAATAACAACAGTTCTTACCAACTGTTACGGCGATCTATGCATCATAAAATCCATCTTTTAATGATAAGGTTCATATCTTCTGTATTCTTTTTAAAATTTTTCAGTTTCCTTGTCTATTAATTCCTAGCTTTTATACTTAATGTGTTACAAACTCCTACTATGATGGTAGAATTGTTGTTTTCTTATTGTAGTTTTATATATATATATTTTTTCCCTAAAAATAAATATACCACAAATATTTTCAACATATATAAATGACTCATAATTCATTTTGCTTAGCACCACCACAACATTTCTCACTATTCTTATGCCTCAGCTGTTCACATAAGGGGCATTACTCCTTTAAATTTTGGGTTCAGTTCAATACAGTTCAGTCGCTCAGTCCTGTCTGACTCTTTGCGACACCATGGACTGCAGTATGCCAGGCCTCCCTGTCCATCACTAACTCCCAGAGTTCACTCAAACTCATGTCTGTTGAGTCAGTGATGCCCTCCAGCCATCTCATCCTCTGTCGTCCCCTTCTCTTCCTTCTTCAATCTTCTCCAGCATCAGGATCTTTTCCAATGAGTCAGTTCTTTGCATCATGTGGCCAAAGTATTGGAGTTTCAGCTTCAGCATCAGTCCTTCCAAAGAATATTCAAGACTGATTTCGGATGGACTGGTTGGATCTCCTTGCAGTCCATGGGACTCTCAAGAGTCTTCTCCAACACCACAGTTCAGAAACATCAATTCTTTGGCGCTCAGTTTTCTTTGTAGTCTAACTCTCACATCCATACATGACTACTGGAAAAATCATAGCTTTGTAATTTCTGTGAAAACTGGATTATCCATAAGCCCAGCCTGGCTTTGTTCAGGTTTGTCTCTCCTTGACAATCGATAATACTCTTTGGAAACTTCTCAGTGTGGGAGTGTGGACAATGGCAGTGCCTGGGACTTTACCATTATGGGAAGCGTGAGGCATTATTGGATTTCTTCAGTCAGAAACCAGGCAAGCTTTGGCCCAAGGCAAATGATGTTTTAATTATTATAAGTATGGGTTTAACTGGGTCTGGAAGGATTAGGAGTTCTGGGAAGGGCATTGGGTTTCAATATGTTGCCTCAGCTGTCCACCTCCCAATATTTTAATTTAAACAGTACCAGGCATAAAGAAAAATTGAAATAAGTTTATAATGAATACCCAATTACCCACCACCTAAATTTCACAATTAACATTTGAGCATATTTGCTTTTTCACATATCTCTTCATCCATCCATCCCTCCAACTTTTAAAAATTGAAAATCTACACAAACTCCAAATAATTGAAAAAATGGTAAACACCCTCATAGCTTCCTCAAGGAGTCAACAATTGACTCTATGTTTTGTTGTATTTATTTCTCTCTCACTGTCTTTCTCCCTGAACCATTTAAAAGTTAACTCCAATATATTTCAAGCCTAAATACTTCAATGCACATCTTTTAGGAACAAAGACTTGACTTTACATAATCACAACATTACTATCACACTGAAGAAAACTAACAAAAATTTTATCTAATACCATCAAATACACTCACTATATTAAAATTTCCCCAAACTTCCTAAACTTTTGAATTTTAAAAAATTATAATCCAATCAAAGTAGATTGTCACTGCGTATGTCTTTAGCATCTTTTTATCTAGAACCATTTCCCATTGAAAAAACTTTATTTTGAAATAATTATAGGTATACAGGTTGTATACAGAGAGGTTTCATGTATCCTTCACCCATTTTCTCTCAATGGTTACATCTTACATATTGATAATACAATATCATAATCAGAAAAATCAGTATTGGTACAACATGTGTATATTCTTATGCTAGTTTTTCACAAACATAGCAGTCGTACTGGGCAGATTCCTGTAACCACCAGCACAATCATGGTATAGATTTATATCATCACCACAGAGATTTACTGGTGCCATCATTTACCAATTTGAGTGAATATAGAAACATTATCCCCTGTTACAGATTGAATGTGTCCTGCCAAAATCCCTGAGTTGAAATCTTAACCCCTAAAGTGATGGTCTTAGGAAATGGGGCCTTTAGGAGGTAATTGGGTCCTGAGGATGGAGCCCTCACAAATGGTATTAGTGTCCTTTCAGGAAGAGTCATCGGAGGGTTAGCTTCCTTCCTGTCTGCTCTCCACCATGTGAGGACACAGTGAGAAGACAAGATGGCTGTCTACAAACCAGAAAGATGACCGTCACCGGACACTGGATCCAGACTCCAGAACTGTGAGAAATAAACATCTGTTTAAGCCAACAACTCTATGATATT